AAATTATATCATTCTTATTGGGTTATCGATTTTTACCCAATAACAAAAATGCAAACCGAGCCCAAACCGATAACCCAATAAAAAAAGAATTTAACCCGTTACCGAACCGTTAACCCAATAACCCAATACCGATAACCCAATAAAAAAAGAATTTAACCCGTTACCGAACCGTTAACCCAATAACCCAATACCGATAACCCAATAAAGAATTAACAGTTCGGATTATCGGTTTTACCCGATATATGCCCACCCCTAACTAATACGATATATTTCCAAATTGATAAGAACAAGACAAGCCTTTGTATGTTACAAGTGTCAAATTGATGGGCGGCCAAGTATTCTTGTATTGTTTTGCTTTTAATTACTCTACTAAAGTAGCAGCTTCAATCAAAGTTACTTAGAGCCACAAGAGAATAGAAACAAAGATCAACTAAGTAGAGGCAGAAAAAAGTGTTATTTCAAAGGTCAATAATTCATGATTTGGCAAAGATTTATGTTTTCAGTGAAACATCATCTTCAATAGCCCTTAATTGAATTTTTACGTCTTATGTTCTTGTTCCTTTTCTTAATCTCCATTGTCAGCATTCAACACTATTAATTACGTGGAGTTTGCTTCGTAATTTTAAAAATAGTTTTCGAAAATAAAAATTAATTTTAAAATCAACAACAGAAAAGTAACTGAAAAACTTCGGAGTGTAGTACAAATATCTTTTTGATTAGAATTATATGTTTTCTTAGTTTCACACGATATGGTTTGATAATAAGTGTAAGTAAAATGGTGTAACTAAATCACTTGATTGAAGGTACAAATAATGGATTTGTGAGCCTTTTAAGGTGGATTGTATATATTTTATAACTAAAATATGTTTAGGTCGGATAAATACCAAAACATGAATATTTTTCGTAATAAGGTTTCCAATAGTGTATATGTATGTAAAAATTCTATTTTTATGCTGATAGTATAATGGAAGGTAAAATTAAACCTTTTCCTTATATAAATTATACATCATTTTTTGTATCTAAAATACATTTTTTTAATTAATTCTACGGATAATTAATTATATCACAGGTTGACGTGTAATAATCGTATTTCTATTTCACATCAAATTAAACGATCGACAATCTTCAGTAAATCTTTTGAAGTAACTTCCAAGAATGTCTTCTTCTTTTTTCTTTTCTTTTTTTGCAACACAAAAAACATGTTTGAATAGTCGTATTCTTCCCCAGAAAAAAACACAGTTGTACTCTGTTTGGAATTTTGTTTAGAAAAATTTCCACCAATAAACTTCCTTCCCGTGCGACAGAACCTTTCGTTGCCTCATGCCCACCGTTCACTTTCTCTGATATGAAATTGTTGCAATTTTCTTCTACACACTATATATGACAAAATTAACTACTAACGTTGTTCGTGGGGTTCCATCTTTATTTAATTTAGAGAGAAATATATGCACTCCTCCGTCTAATTGAATATGAAATTTAAGAGAGAAAAAAAAAACCAACTTGTGGTCCAAAAATTGTTATAGATATTTGTGTGACTATAAATCTATCTTATTAAGGTTAAAATTAGAAGTTTAAAGTTAAATTATTGTTAAATTTAAAATGTAACATTTTTTTTTGGATAGACCAAAAAAAGAAAGTACACCGCATAAATTAAAACAGAGGAAATAGTTATTAGAGATGGATCCTAGATTTTAACTTGATGGGTTCGACTTTTAAATTTTTTGCTCTAAACTCATTGTACCTATAAAATTATGGGTTCCGATTTGATATTTGCTAAATTTTGTGATTTTTACATTAAAATCTATACTCCACATAGAAAATACATAATTCGGAAGAACCCGCTGCCGAAGCATTGGATCGGCAAATAGTTATGACACTATTTATATTAGGATCTTTATATAAATAGTTATTCAAATTCACTGTTTACTTTCCCTAATCGATATATATAAATTATACAATGATTTAGATGCACGTATGCTTATACGTAACAATGAAGAAATATCATTATTCATTCAGTTATTTGATTCACTTAGTGAATGTTTGAATTAAATGTATGACTTTGTGAATTAGTCTTCTCCATTATTTGTGTAGGGTCAATCTTTCACACGTGAACCAGCAATAATTCAAAATGGGACATCAATCATATTTTTGGTAGGTAGCATTAGAATTGAAAGGGCCACGAGCTAGTAATTCTTGTTAGTGGTCATAACAGTTTCAGATTCAGTAGATACTAGTCCAAATTATACCAAATTTAGTCACGTTTTCATGTTCAAATTGTATTCTATTTCGTGCCAAAGATATTTATTTGTGTATTGCAGTGTGGTCAATTGTCACTGCTAACAAACAAACTCTTTTGTTTTTCTCGGGGATTACTTTAAAACTTGTCAGTACATATAATATGTGTTTTACCAATTTTCAAGTTGAAATTCTCTTTTAATCATGAATTTTGTTACTGACGTGTTAACATTTTATTTTTACTAGTCTTAGGGTACGCGTAATGCGCGTCTACCTAATACTTTTAAATATAAATTTATTAATTTCGCAGAAATAAATATTATTAGAATTTATTTTAGTTATAAAATAAATATTAAAAGAAAAGTTAAAGATAAAAGAATCAAGAAAGTAGGGATCAGGAGTTTCTTGTTCATGGAGTCCCTAAAAATTATTTTTTTCTTAACTCTTCAAGATACTACGGATATAATGTATAAGAACATTAATGTAAAATTTATTTTTAAAGAAGGAAAAAGTTAATTAATAATAGTACAGATAGATAGATAAATAATAATAATTATACTAATATAATTTTTAAATATGTGTTGCATGTTTATCTCAAATAAATGAATACAAATTTTAATATTATTTAAAAATATATTTGAGTTATACAATAGTATTTTAAGAAAAAATTAAGTTCCTGAAAATCATAAATACTAATTTTAATTAGTTAATGCAATAAATGAAGCAATTGTATCCTACAGAGTTTCTCTCATATCTTATTGAATACCACCATATTATAGAATTTTACTAAAAAGGCATGAATACTCGAAAAACATATGTCTATATTATATGATAGAATTATTACTCAATAATTATCGATAGTTAATTAGTTAATGCTGAAATATCTTATTAACATTGATAAATTATCTCCAATGGAGATTAAAATTGTGAGATAATTTTTTGTATATGACCGGCCATTTTTGTATAATGGAATCAACCATTTATTTTTCATTATATAGTTTTCTTTCACNAGCGAATAACATTTCGATAGGGGCTTCGTGATTTTAATATAGTATAGATAGATTTTTAGCTGCGTGAAGGCGGCTATCTAATGAACTAATTTGACATGATTTTTTTTATTTATTAAATTTACGTTTCAACTACAATATTAATATACTTTTTAACTTGGATTTAAAAATGTTATTTAACTTGATTTTTCAAGGAGAAATATTTAAATATTTATAGTTTAGTTTCGAAATCTTTAAAGTTAATGTCAAATAGTTGAAATTTGATAAGCAATCTCGAAAATTTTGTAAAAATAGCACGGACTAGCCAGTTTTCGGACTGGTCATTGAAAAATAGCCAGCGTATTCAAAGTCATTGAAAAATAGCCACTATTTTGCTGCAACACAGAAAATTTCAGCATAATATACTGGAGATCGATGCACCTGTGTATGAACTTCCAGCATATTATGCTGAACTCCAACACGCAGAAAGTCCAGTATATTATGTTGGACCGGTATAATATATTGGAACTCCAGTATATTATATTGGAGTTCTTCCAGTATATTATACTAGAGTAATTTTTCAGATTTTAAACAGTATTTTCGTTCAGATTTATCTTTACATGAAAAATGACTAAATTTCAATTACTTTTGAAACTATGCCTATATTTGAATGACAACTTATAAATCTGGCTATTTTTGAATTTCTCCCGAAAATTTTGTAATAACCGGCCCAGTTAGTTTTAGTGAGATTGAGGACAGTTTGTTGATTGATTTGAACTTTGATTGACTACTACTGCAACTCTTACAAGGAATAAGGATAAAATTTGGAGTTGCATTTATCTCATGTATGGTTATAGATAATCTCATGGGATATCCTTGTTTATCTCACCATTATACCAAACAACCCCCTAAGTTAACAACTGTCTAGATTCAAAGGGGTTAAACATAATCATTGGAGGAAGTAGTGTTTTGATGACAAAGAGGATAGATAAAACTAGTTAGTTATAACATGTAAAAATGACTTGATAGTGTTAAAAAATACACAGATTTACATGTATTAATTGCCTAATGGTAATACTCTGCAATTATATATAGTCAATATGTACATACATCAAGGGAAGGCAGTCGCCCGCACCTCCCTTTTCCCCCCTTCCACTCTAAATCCCAAGTACAATGGATATAATATATATTCTTCATTCAACTACAACTTCTGAATCAAACTGATACAAGATTGGCATTCAAAGAAACCAACTTGGACCAAAAATATGAACCCCAAAATTTCAGTTTCAGAATATATGTCGTTTAGTTGATGCATCTGAAAAAGGCAAGCGAATGCATTAAAATTTCTTGTAAGACAGTTTAAAAGTAGAAAAAGTAGCAGGCAACTTTCGTTTACCTCTTAGAATAATCAAATGAGTTGTACAACAGCTGCTATGCGCAATGCTCCATTTTGGAGAAGGTCGGCTACTTCATCAAATAACAGGGCCGAGCGCCAGCCCCATCCTTTGGGAGCTTTTGGGAGAAGTGTTCCAGTTTGTTTGAAGCTTCCTAACACCATCACTTCTCTCTTTGATGGACATATCAACTGGTTTACCAAATTATTGACAGTAAAAATAAAAGCGGTTTCAACATGATATTCTGGAGAAGATACCAATATAAAAGCATTAAATCTTAGCCTTTGTAAGTTCACCTGATATCTAGAAGTAACCTTTTCACGGGAATCGACATACATTTGCACCTGAATACACGATATAGAAAAGATCATCATGGACAGAGAAATCAATGTTAACTTACAACTTTATTGAAAACAAGAGAGAAGGGAAAGGAGGAGGAGAAGGACCTATCATATTTTACTTGTATAAAACATTCCAATTAATTAGCAGCTCCAGACTTCATACACACACACACACACACACACACACATATATGTTCAAGAATGGTTTTTTCTTCTTCTTTTGATAATATATGTTCATGAATGGTTTTGGACTTTTGGTCCGGATTAAGTATTAGAAAATAACATGCTGTTCCACACTTAAAAGTAACTTCAATTTGCTCATGAAATTACAAAGGAAAAGTTCACCTTTCTAACTGGATCAGCTATTTCTGCCTTCCTTCGATGAAGAAATAGCCCTGAGAAAACAACATACCAATATAGTTACAAAAGAGGTCTATTATCATCATGCAGACAATTTGGAGGAATACAATATTACCAAGTGTTCGGCGTCCCTGAGGGTCTTCATCACTGAAAGCCTGTACACTAACCTAGAGGATGCAAAAGACCAGATTTTCATTTACTCCTTATTGGTTGCAATAGCAAAAATCTCGTGAAGAGCACACACGAAATAATTTACATTTCCCCTAAGAAAGATGTGAGTATTGAAATGCAATAAAGGGTTGAAAGATCCACAAACCTTCCATAAGGAACCAGCATAAAAGAATTCAGGAGAGTGTTTGACTTGGCCATCAATAAGCCTAAGAACATCGTGAAACTCAACCCTGTGAAGCAATTCAGGTGTAAGTATACACCTTTGTCATAACAACAACAACAACAACAACAACAACAAACCCAGTATAATCCCACGAGTGGCCATTAGGCCATGGGCGCTGTTGTTGGAGTATACACTTTTTTTGGGTCATAAAGAGAAAAAAAAAGGATTCTATTCTCACAAAGAGGACACCATATTCAGAACACAAATTAGAAGGAAATTCACACCAAACAAAGAGTTCTGCTATTGCAAGACCAATATCACGACATTGAGATTTCTGCAATTTGAGAGATTGATTAAGGATGGATTTCATTATCTGAAGAAAGAAACATTGAGAGGCACATAAGGATCTCCCCGTCTCAACTATCAATTTGTTGGTCACAAAAAGGTAAGCAAACACTTTCAGGAAATTCAAGGGGTTGCATCTCGCAAAGGGCAAAAGGTACATGTTTTTGTGCCAAATAATTGCATCTCTTTCGGGGGGAAAAGGTACATCTTTATCACATGAAAGAACTATGTGAATTTTCTTGAAGATTTCCACAAGAAATTTGTAGTGTGGTCCCTTATATGGCACCATATATTTGAGAGTTGAAAGGTGGACACATGGTGGACAGAGAGACAGCTTTATTTGCAGTTATGAACCAACAGATCATATGGGCAGTTTCTAAATCATATGGAAAGGTCCACCTTAATACAAAATATGAACTGGTTATACTTCATCCTTTTCTTTATTTTATTGGTAACTGGTTATGCTTCATCTTCCACTATAATGAAAAGAATATTCAAGAATGTTGGCTATATTTGTCTCTTTATGAAAAGTGAATAGTGAATAGTGAGTATAGAACTTCTTCTTCTCAAGGTTGACAAATTACCTGGTCAGGAGCTAAAAAAATTGACACTTCCAAGGATTTAACAAACAAAGATAAGTGTGCAGAACCTAATCTGCAGAACATATTCTGCATACAAAGTATTGACCTTATGTAGAAGTCAAATGTCAACCAAACATAGCAGAAAGAATAACGTACCCAAACCGAAAGGGAGGAAAGTGACTTAAAGGTGTTTTCATATCCAATGATATAGAAGTATTTCCATTCTCCCACTCTATTCCCATTGCATGTCCAGACGAGTCTAGCATCTGGGGGGAAATACTGCTTGAACTTGGGCCAACAGTTGGTGATCCTACTAGTCTGTTCTGCGGTTCTGTCTCATATCCCCTTTCTACCCGTTCAACATGAATATTAGCACTACTGCTTCCTTCTTGGCTAAGCCCAACCAAAGCAGTTAATCCATCTCCAGCAAGATCCCCGCTCTGTTCTGCTCTATTTTCTGAGTCATCATTGGCAGGAGACTGCTGACAGTTCCGGTTGCCCATACCAAGTGGTACACGAGAGAAAACAAAACGAGTTGGAGGCCAAGCGACTGCAGGTACAAATGTAGTTCCACGCCCAATACCGGCTAGCCCATCAATGGGGCCCCGAACATGAACACGAACAGGCCTAAACATGCCACTTCCTTCCCTGTGAGGCGAGTCAGTGACATACATATTTCCTATATTGTTGGATTGATTACTCTGATCATGCTCTGGCATGTAATATCCAGTAGTTCCACGTGAATGTCCAAATGGCTGCCGACAAGCACATTCCATACTCACAAGACAGCAATTTTTGCAAGTGTCAGCACCAATTTCTTGCACCCGTTGACTTAAGAGAATCTGCAAAATACACAAGCAGTTTTAAAAGCACAATTAAATTAGGAAATAAGAAATCTGATATGGTTAGGAATGACGAAGGGCAGACTATTCTGTAAGCTATCAAACATATAAAAGAAAAGCAAATTGGGGATGAAAATGGTTACAGACCTGCAGCCATAACCCGTCGTTCACAGCTTTGCAAGGAAACCCCATTTCTTCAAGTTGTTTTCTCACACTAAGAAGTGCATCAAATGACATGTTACAATATAAAAGTGAGCCACCCTCGAAAACGTTCGCAAAGGCATCGTAATCTTCTCTACTTACTCCGGAATGTGCCTTTAGACAAGTTTTGACTTCTCTCCGGCCCACAGTTCTACCACCCCAAGATAGAGGAGTGAAATTGCATCTTTCCCATTCATTTGGTATCATCAAATTACAGGATGAGCCCATTGAAGAGAAGTTCCTCTGATCCCCACAAAGCCAACTGTTGTTATTCAATTGATAGCATGAATCTTCTTCAGATGGCCCTTCCACAGCCATACCATTGCCCCCTAATCCACTAGCTCCAGCATTAATGGGCATTTCAATATAAGAACATGAAGACCTGACGTCATCAGTGAATAAGAACGAGTTATTTGATGAAGGATGTCCACTGCTGCATGGGTATCTTGACTCCGAGTCTGACTGAAGACATGCTGATTCTTGCATCTTTTGTTTAGAGTTAGTTACCTCAGTGAGCGAATCAACACCACAATCTGCAAGCTCAACCAAGATATTTTGAGATGTATTACAACCATCAACTCCATCTATTAAGCTTAGGTGTCCTAGTTCAGATTCCACCCTTCTGTAATCAGTTAAATTCTTTGGCGCTATTCTGGGAATATCAGAAACTGTACTTGTTCCAACTCCAGAACTAGGATTTTCTTCTTCATGATGTTCTGCCTTGCAAAAAGCATTTTTTGCAAGAAGTGTATATAAAGCTAGTTCAAACCTGCTCAAATTTGCAAGCAGAAAACCAAGATAGGGAAAGGGTTATCATGCTAAAATCAAATTTCAAATGTCACTTTAGCCAGTCTAAACAAAAAAGCAGCCACAGTTCTCACCGTTTCTTTTCGGTAGGGACCCATAACTCGTCTGAGGTCAGTAGTGCATTTAGCGTTGGAGCAGAGAGCTTCGGAAGGACCTGGTATTGACAGGAGGATAACAGGCCAACTAGTTATCATCTCATGGCCTTCATCATAACTCAAATAAGAAAGAGAATCATGCATACGAGAAATTGAACTGCAGAATCAGGAATTATCTTAATAACTAAGCAAGGTCTCCACATGCTTATTTACAGTGGCAAGGACGGGAAGCCAGGTAACTTGCTTTAGCAAAGGCACTAAAAAAGGAAATATGGCCATGTCAGAAGATATGCAGAAATCCCCATGTATGTGAAATGTTTGAAAAGAGACTGCTGTAGATCTTTTGCATTGTCATTTCACAGATTGCATTTCAAGATAAAACTGCTTCCTCAAGTTGCATCATGTTGAAAAGAAGGCATTTACATGACAGCAATTCAACACAGAAAAACATGTACCACTTAGCCCTTGCATATACACCATCTTAACACCTTGGAGTGAAAATGCAGTTTTGTAAAAACATAGTTCCTTCATAAATAGTTCCGATCAAAAAGAGGTTCATAAGATTTTGGAATAACTGAAAGCTCTCACATGCACAATGAGAGAGGACTTTACTCATCAGTTGCAATAAATTAGGAACAGAAGCGTCTTTTCTAGAGAAACAAGCTCCAGTTTGGCCGTAAATTTTGGCTGCTTTTTTCAAAAAAAAATTGAAAACATTGTTTGTTCATGGAATATGATTAGTTTTTGAAAAAAATTAAAAAAGGATTCAAGTTCTTCTACACACAAAACTTCAACTCTTGTGAAATTTTTTCTTCCACTCACAAAACTTCAACATTTTTTCAAATAAAATGCATGTCCAAACACAACTTTAACTTTCAAAAATTACTTTTCAACCTTCAAAAACTCTTTTTTCAAGTTTCAACCAAATCTATGTCCAAATGCTAGCTTAGTTTCTCCTGAACACACGCCACAACTAAAGTTGGTTAAACAAATACATGTGGTGCAACAGAGTTCCTGCTAAGCTTTGTAAAATACGCCTCCAGAAAAGACAAAAGCTGTTGTGATTTAAATAAAGGGAGAAAAGACAAAGCTGTTGTAACTTCCACTATTCACTGATTAAAACCTTAGAATGTTTTCAAATAGTTACCTCTTTCAACTCCACGGCACCACTTTGACAAAGGTATCCCCAACAAGCATTTCTCACTCGTTCACCATGTATGCCATAATCTTGGCGTTCTGCGAACACCTAAACCTCCACAACAATGTGATCAGTAAAATACATGAACGTACGGATGATGAAGTATAAAAATATCGAACAGCAATCTAACCTGGTATGTTAAGAAATTTGACGTCCACAACTCGGATATGATAAAGTCTGTGCATATTGCACATAAATCCTGCATGAAATTTTAAATCTGTAATGTTATGCCAGGGAAGAATATTGATTATCGAGCAAAGGATTGGACACATCATTCAGCAAATTCAGGCAGATCTTTTTTTTGGGGGGTCGATAAATCAAAGTAACTATTGATAACACACCAAGATGGGGTCAGCTTTACAAAAGGTGCAATGGCATTGTACATCAAACCTCCCAAAAATCCAACCATCTACAGAGGGAGACATGTCTACTTTGGACCAAAATTATAACAGGAAGATATAAGAACTCATGACTCTTGATATAGGGCTCCCGACATCATCAAAATTGAGGACATTTTTCAAGTGTTCTTTACATTCAGGTCATGCCTTTAACCTAGGAATTCTTGAGACTGTATGTGGAACTTTGATTGGATTAAGAAAAAAATAATAATTGGTTCGATCATTTTTGATACTCTAGTTACTTCTATTTTCGCTAGAGCTTTTGAGTTGGTGATCGTGAACTCTATGTTTCCGAAGAGGGAGGAACATTTGGTTACTTTCCAGAGTATGGTGGCTAAGACTCAAATTGACTATCTCCTCCTCAGAAGGTGTGATAGGGGGTACTGCGAGGATTGCAAGGTGATCCCGAGTGAGAACCTCGCAACTCAACAGAGGCTCCTAGTGATGGACGTCGGTATTTTGATGAAGAGGAAGAAGAGGTTTGTACGGGGTCCGTCGAGGATCAGGTGGGGAGCTTTGTCTAAGGATAATTCGCTAGAGTCGGAGGGGCAGCTGACAAATATGGGTGCCTGGAAGAGTGGTGGGGACGCTAGCGCTATGTGGACGGCGACGACAGACTGTATAAGGGAGGCAGCAAGAGAGGTGTTGGGAGTTTCGAAAGGCTATTATGGCGGGCATCGAAGCGACTGGTGGTGGAATGACGTGGTCCAAGGTAAAGTGGAAGCCAAGAAAGTGTCGCACATTAAGTTAGTAGAGAGCACCGACGAGGATCAGAGGAGAGCGAACAGAGAAAGATATAAGAAGGCTAGGAAATAGGCGAAAGTAGCGGTCACAGAGGATAAGACTGCTGCTTTTGGTCAGCTTTATGAGGAACTTGGGGGCAAAGGTGGGGATAAGAAGTTATTTCGGTTGGCCAAAGCGAGAGAGAAGAAGGCACGCGACCTGGATCAAGTGAGGTGCATCAAAGACGAGAACGGTCGAGTATTGATGGAAGAGGCCCAGATTAAGCAAAGATGGCAGTCGTACTTTCATAAACATCTGAATGAAGAAGGGGATGGAAACATCATGTTAGGGCAATTGGGGCACTCCGAGAGTCACCGAGACTTTAGGTATTATAGGTGCATTAAGGTTGATGGGTAAGATGAGTCGGGGCAAAGCGACCGGACCTGACGAGATTCCAGTAGAGTTTTGGAGATATGCGGGTAGGGCAGTGGCTGACTGGGTTGTTTAATGTTATCTTCAGGACAAAGAGGATGTCTGATGAGTGGCGGTGGAGTACAATGGTTCCGGTTTACAAGAATAAAGGGGATATCCAGAATTGTAACAATTATAGGGGTATCAAGTTACTAAGTCATACCATGAAAGTCTGGGAGAGGGTGGTGGAAGGGAGGATAAGGAAGGCGGTGTCTATATCGGAAACCACTTCCACTTCATGCCGGGCCGTTCTACTACGGAAGCTATCCACCTTATCAGGAGGTTGGTGGAACTATACAGGGATAGGAAGATGGATTTGCATATGGTGTTTATTGACCTAGAGAAGACATATGACAAGGTCCCTAGGAACGTCCTTTGGAGGTGTCTGGAGGTGAAAGGTATGTCGGTGGCTTACATTAGGGCGATAAAAGATATGTATGATGGAGCTATGACTCGGGTTAGGACTATAGGAGGTGACTCAGAGCCTTTTCCGGTGGTTATGGGATTACACCAAGGATCTGCGCTCAGTCCGTTCTTTTTTGCTCTGGCGATGGACGCACTAACACACCATATCCAAGGAGAGGTGTCATGGTGTATGTTGTTCGCTGATGATATAGTTCTGATTGATGAGACGCGAGGCGGCGTTAATGGGAGACTTGGAGGTATGGAGGCAAGCTTTAGAGTGTAAAGGTTTCAAGTTGAGTAGGACTAAGACAGAATACGTGGAATGTAAGTTCAGCGACGTGACGAGGGAAGCGGATGTGGAAGTCAGGCTTGACTCACAGGTCATCCTCAAGAGAGAAAGTTTTAAGTACTTAGGGTCAATTATCCAAGGAGATGGGGAGATCGACGAGGATGTTACGCATCGTATTGGAGTGGGGTGTATGAAATGGAGCTTAGCGTCTGGAGTTCTGTGTGACAAGAATGTGTCATCGAAACTCAAAGATAAGTTCTATAAAGTGGTGGTTAGACCGGCCATGTTGTATGGAGCTGAGTGTTGGCCAGTCAAAAATTCACATATCTAGAAGATAAAAGTAGCAGAAATGAGGATGTTGAGATGGATGTGTGGGCACACTAAGCTGGATAAGTCGGGAAAGGGTGGGCGTGGCTCCCGTGGACGACAAGATGCGGGAAGCGCGACTTAGATGGCTCGGACACGTGCAGAGGAGAAGCCTAGATGCACCGGTTAGGAGGTGTGAGCGATTGACTTTGGCAGGTACGAGAAGAGGCAGAGGGCGGCCTAAGAAGTATTGGGGCGAGGTGATCAGGCAGGACATGGCGCGGCTTCAGATTTCCGAGGACATGGCTCTTGATAGGAATATGTGGAGGTCGAGCATTAGGGTGGTAGGCTAGGGGTAGTCGAGTGTTCTTCCCTCTTTGTACCAGGTAGTCTGATAGAGTTTCGTTTAGGTTCGTTAGTTGTCTTTGTTGTATTCACATTGTTGTTTTGCATAGTTTTGTGTTATTGTCCTTTCACTTATTCGTTGTGGTTATTTTCTTTTTGGTATCTTTTGTTGTTACATGTCTTTTCTCTTGTTTCTTTTCTGATATTATTGCCTCTCCTGTTGAGCCGAGAGCCTCCTGGAAACAACCTCTCTGCTCTTTTCGGGGTAGGGGTAAGGTCTGCGTACACTCTACTCTCCCCAGACCCCACTAGTGGGATTTTACTGGGTATGTTGTTGTTGTTGTAGTTACTTCTACTTTCACAAGAAAAACCTGGCTATGTTTATGAATCCTTTTTCCTCATGAGAAACTTTAAAATGAAACATTGGGAAGAACTAAAAACTTAAGTTAGACCAGAATAATCAAGAAATACAGCAAACTGGTATCTAAGAGACAGTAGAATGAAAACAATTTTTTTTTAATAAAACACTTCTAATTGATTTCAAGATATCCTTAGAAGTCAGAAGAGTAGCTGCAAATGATCATAATGCAGGAAATGCACGCAGGACAGACATTTGATAAACAGAAAATCACTTTCATTGAAACAATGTACAGAAGTTTTCCACAATGCATCTTGTTAAAATAATCATGTTTCCGTCCCTTTTACTAGACTAAACCAAAGGCGATTATCCAGAGCACAAGACTGATTGGTAGCCATAAATGTTTTCACATTTCATACCTGAAGATCAAGAAAGGATGCAGCAGCAAGAACACGGAATGCATTATTATCGTTAAGCTTTGGATGGTGTCCATATAGATATGCTAAAGCTATTGCAATAGCCTCCCCGTTAACATTGCTATCATCAACTGTCAAGGTTAAAACTGGAGCTTTGGCTTCTTTCCATGGTCCCTGAAGCATATTCCTGTTCATCAAACAAGCACATAAAGTTGACTTCAAGAAGGTACAGTTTCCTGTATGCAAAGACAAGTAGTATTTTTGTATAAATGCAGCCAGATATGAAGGCAGAGAAAGTAAATAAACATATCAGCCAACTACATACTTTTGAGGCATAGTAACTATGTGCAAACCCAGTCAAAATTTTTATTTAGAGTATTTACGGTGTACCAAACTACCCTTACAAAAGAAGGTGTACCAAACTAAAGCAACTTCACTTTCCTATAACTGGATTAAGTTGACAGAGTTATGCAGGGTGCGAGGAGTAATAAATCTGAAAATGGTTGAGAAGGGCAGCAGTAAATGCTGCAATAATGGTTCATTGAACTAAGCCCATTGATACTAAAATCTTTTGTCATGTATTTGTTTCTTTGAAAGTGAAGCGGAGAAGGAATAAAGATGGTGATAGCCCTAAGAAAGATGCTTTGAGATGCAGCACTTGTTAGTTATTTTTTGAATCTAAGAATTCCCAACATCACAAAAATTTGAGTAACATCAAATTTAGTAAAAGAAACCACCTTCTGTAAGATGTTAAAGTAGCCTTCTGGTTACTTTTTCTATCGCATAATGTCACAACACTGCTTTTTAGACCTACTTCGTGTTCTAGCTCTAGCATTCCATAATTATACACAATTAGGTCAGTGCAAAACCATCTGTTTTGTACCACCATTCTATGTTACAGAGGGTTTATTATTTCCACTCATTGCCATCCCAAAGAATTTGCAATCCATCTGTTTTTCTTTTTAATGTGGTAAACCCCAAACCTCTTTCTCCTTTGGTGACTCAAACTGCCAGCCTCATGTTTGGAGGTGGATGGCCCATTCCAGTAGGCATTAGTCAGGTGTCTTATTAGGACAACATACAAAATGAACTTGGCACTTCTACATGCAGGCATACACTAAGAGATTTCTGTGATTAGGGATACAAAAGGTACGAGTTCATCTACATGACCCTAATTTGCCAGGATGGTAAGTTTTGTAGTTAGCATGTAGCCAGTCATCAAACATGCAATAGTGACACCAGAGAACATGCAGTCTTCAATTACAAATACTAACCATGTGGATGTTGCTAATTAGATGATTACAAGAAACATACATTGAGGACCTTGAGTAAACTTGAACTGGAACAAGTGCAACTGTGCAAGGGGTGCAAGATCAGTTATAAATACATGAAGCTAGTACTTTACCGCTGTGCTATGTCGGTGTCAAAGCAGCAACTCTCTAGTTATTACTCCTTCCGTCCCAAAAAGAACTACAAACTTTTGAGTATGAGGGTTCACACATCTAATTTCGGTGTGAAATCAGATACATCAATTTTATAGCTTTTCTGAAATAAAGATTACATATTTAGATACTACATTAATTGTAATGTAAATCACGTTTTTTGTTAAAAGTACTTTTAGAATGTTAGAGAATTCGTATTCAAATTTCAAAAGAAAAAAACTATTGCGATTCTTTAAGTAGAAAGTGTCGGTGATTTTTGTATGCATGAAGCAATAGATACTGAGAGAAACCACTACGAAACCAGCTAAAAAACATCAGACCTTCTGCAGAATGACCATTAATGAAGCAAAATAACAGAAAGTTTTGTACTTTTCCAACTGAATTACCAATGCAAGCCAACCAAATCGTATGATAAAAAACAAAAAGAAAGAACCCCCACCAGGAATGGAGTTAAAAGAATGTAATGGGAGACCCAAAACTGAGAATAGAAGTCCTAAACTAAAAACTGCAGAAGTTGCATACTCTTTTAACTGATAATTATCAATGAGAACCAAACTAAATTATATCAGAGAAAACCCACCAAAAACAGCAAACCTTCTGAAAATATGAATTAGTGAACAAAATTACAGAAAGTTTTGTACTTCTCTAACTGATACTGTCAATGCAAGTAAATCTACACTATAACACAAAAAATCCCACCAAGAAATGAAAGTTTTTACTCTCTAACTGGTATAGTTTTGTGCTTGCCAAACTGACAATTATCCCAATGAGAGCCAAACCGAATTACATCAGGAAAAAAAAACTCACGAAAAACATCAAACCTTCAGCAAAATAGCCATTAGTGAAGCAAAATTACAGAAAGTTTTATACTTCATTAACATTTAACTGATAACTACCAATGCAAGTGAAATTATACTAAACATAAACAAAAAACCACCAACAATGAATTTTTTTTAACTCTCTAACTGATACAATTTTGTGCTTTCCAACTGATAATTAGCAGAAAAGACCCACCAAAACCATCACACCTTCAGCAAAATAGCCATAAGTGAAACAAATTACAGAAAGTTTAACTGATAACAAGCAATGCAAGTAAAATTACACTAAAACACAAGAACCCCACCAAGAATGGGATTAAAGGGTGTAATAAGAGACCCAAAAAGGCGAAAAAAGAACCTGAAATAGGAACTGCGTGAAAGGATTAAGCGATGAAGGTGATAAGTAGAACCCATAGCTTGAACAATGACATCAGAAAATGAGCCATTATTGAAGCCTTCTAATTGAATATGATCACAAAGGGATGTAAGGTTACAATCCAATGCTCGAAGTTCATTGCTTGTTCGGTCCTTATCGGAGTGTTGCGACTGTAATTGTGTTGTAGTCGGTTGATGTCTTGGAGTTTCCATATGTAAAGATCCTCCGCCGGTGGCGCCGGCGCCGGCGAAGGTTCTCTGATGCTGCTGCCGGTTAGGATTATACTGTGGTTCCATTGTTGTGCCGCGAAATGGGTGTGGATCGGAAGAAGTTTTTCCGGCTAAAGTGAAGTTATCAGAAAGTTTTGGAATTCAGACAGAAAAAATTTGGAAGTCCGTACTTGTAGTTTGGGAAGGAAAAAAAAGAAAAACAAAATGACAAATATTGTCCTTATGAATTATCCGTTAAAATAATTCCTTAACTACAACAACAGCCCACTAAAATCCGATAAGTGGGATCTGGGATAAGTAGGATCTGAGAAGGATAATATGTATGCAGACTTTATCCCTGCCCCGAAAAAGTAGAGAGGTTGTTTCCGGAAGACCCTCGGCTCAAGATAATAAGAAAAACAAAAGGGAGAGAATATTAGTTTCACCACAGAGAACATAGGAAAAATAAGAACATAAAATGTAGAAGGAAAAATGCAAAACAAAAATGACGGCTAGTAAATAGGTCTTGCACCGAAAAGAGAAAATAGTAAGACACGACAATGCCCCTAGCTATTTCAGACAAAAACCCTATCACACTAGGCTCACAACAATACAAGGTAACGCAAGACTCAACTACCTCCTAGCCTACAACCGTAATACTCGACCTCCACAACTTCTTATCAAGTGTCATGTCCTCGGAAATCTGAAGCCTCGTCATATCCTGCCTGATCACTTCTCCCCAATACTTCTTAGGCTGCCCTCTACCTTTTCTCGTGCCCTCCACAACCAATCGTTCACACCTCCTTACTGGAGCATCTGGGCTTCTCCTCTGTACATATCTGAACCATCTGAATCTCGCTTCCTGCATCTTGTCATCAATGGGAGCCATGTGCACCTTCTCCCCAATATCATCATTTCTAATCTTGTCCATCCTAGTGTGCCCGCACATCCACCTCAACATCCTCATTTCTGCTACTTTCAATTTTTGGATATGTGAGTTCTTAACAGGCCAACACTCAGTCTCATACATTATGGCCGGTCTAACCACCGCTTTATAAAACTTACCTTTGAGTATCGTTGGCACTCTCTTGTCACACAAAACTCCGGATGCTAACCTCCAATTCATCCATCCTATCCCAATACGGTGTGTGGCATCCTCATCGATCTCCCCTCCCCCGTGGATAACCGACCCAAGGTACTTGAAGCTACCTCTACTTGGGATAACCTGTGATTCAAGCCTCACATCCACGCCCACTTCCCCCGGCTTAGTGCTGAACTTACACTCCAAGTATTTCGTCTTTGTTCTGCTCAGCTTGAAACCTTTAGACTCAAGATTCTGTCTCCAAACGTCTAGTCTCTCGTCAACACCGGCTCGTGAATAATCAATCAGAACTATGTCATCGGCAAATAGCATGCACCATGGCATCTCCCCTTGAATATGGTTTGTTAATGCATCCATCACCAGGGCGAATAAGAACGGACTGAGCGCAGAGCCTTGGTGTAACCCCATCTCAACCGAAAAATGCTCAGAGTCGCCTCCTACTATCCTAACCCGAGTCTTAGCCCCATCATACATGTCCCTAATCGCCATAATATAGGGAACCGACACACCTTCTGTCTCCAAGCATCTGCAGAGAACTTCTCTAGGAACCTTGTCATACATTTTCTCTAGGTCAATAAACACCATGTGCCCTTCTTTCTCTCTTTGTACAGTTCCACCAATCTCCTAACAAGGTGTATAGCTTCTGTGGTAGAACGACCCGGCATGAACCCGAACTGGTTGTCGGATACAGGCATTGTCATCCTCACCCTCTCTTCAATGACCCTCTCCCATACTTTTATGGTTTGACTGAGTAATTTGATACCCCTATAATTGTTACAACTTTGGATATCACCTTTGTTCTTATACAATGGAACCATCGTACTCCACCTCCACTCATTCGGCATTCTCTTCGCCTTAAAAATAACATTAAACAACCCAGTCAACCACTCCAAACCTGCTCTCCCTATACACTTCTAAAATTCTACCAGAATCTCGTCTTGCCCGGTTGCTCTGCCCCTACTCATCTTATGTATAGCCCCCACAGCCTCCTCAACGCAGTGCCCGAAGTCACGGTGACTCTCGAAATGCTCCAATTCGCCTAGCACAATATCCCGATCCCCTTTTTCATTCAGAAGTTTATGGAAGTAAGTCTGTCATCTCCTCTTAAACTGGGTATCTTCTATCAGTATCCTACCATCTTCGTCCTTGATGCATCTCACTTGGTCCAAATCCTGAGCCTTCTCTCTCTCAACTTGGCCAGCTAGAATAACTTCTTCTCCCCGCCCTTTTCCCCTAGTTCCTCGTACATACGACCGTAAGCCGCAGTCTTAGCCTCCTTAACTGATAAATTAGCTTCCTTCCTAGCTATCTTATATCTCTTCATGCATGCTCGCCTCTCCTCCACACATATGCTCCCCATTAACTTCATGTATGTTGCCTTCTTCGCTTCCACTTTACCTTGGACCACTTCATTCCACCACCAGTCTTCTTTATGCCCACCAGAGACACCGGTCGAGACCTCTAATACCTCTCTCGCAGACGCCCTTATACAGTCTGTTGTTGCTGACCACATAGTGTTTGCGTCCCCACTGCTCCTCCAAGCACCCATAGCCGACAGCCGCCACTACAACTTTTGGGCTTTATCCTTAGTCAAGGCTCCCCACTTGATTCTCGGTGTTCCCCGAGCATTCCATTTCCTCCTCTTTAACCTAATACCAACGTCTATCACCAAGAGTCTATGCTGCGTCGTGAGTGTCTCACTCAGAATCACCTTGCAGTCCTTGCATAGCCCGCTGTCACATCTCCTGAGGAAGAGATAGTCAATCTGAGTCTTTGCTACCGCATTTTGAAAAGTAACCAAATGATCATTCCTCTTCGGAAATCTAGAGTTCGCAATCACCAACCCGAAAGCCTTAGCAAAGTCCGACAGCAAGGTAACTCCTCCGTTCCTCTCCCCAAAACCAAAGCCTCCATGCACCTCGCCATAATCACCCGCGGTCGCCCCAATATGACCATTGAAATCTCCTCCTATGAATAGCTTCTCGGAAGGCGGAACCTGGCGCACAATCTCATCTATCCCCTCCCAGAAACTCTGTTTAACCTCCCATCTAGGCCAGCATGCGGCGCATAGGCACTAATGACATTTAGGGTGTACTCACCAACCACCAACTTAATAACCATCAATCTATCATTCACTCGTCTAACTTCGACCACAGACTCTCTAAGTTCCCTATCCACCAAGATACCCACTCCATTCTTACCTCTCTCGACTCCTGAGTACCAAAGTTTATACCTGTCCGCATCCTTCGCACTTGACCCTATCCACCTTGTCTCCTGGACACACGTTATATTAACCCTCCTCTTCTGAAGAATCTTCGCCAACTCTATAGACTTACCCATCAATGTACCTACGTTCTATGGCCCGATTCTTAACCTATAGACACCCTTGTTCCCTTTACCTCCCTTGCCTCCCGACCCACCCCCTAAACCCTGCTCTAAAGTTGCATAAATTAAATTTCCCAAATTTTTCTCTAAAAAGTTAAAAAATAAACCCCGGGCTCGCNCGACCATCCCAGACCACAACCACTATACCTATGACATACTAAAGGGAATCACTAACACACACAAGGCAACAGACCAAGCTAGAGAAAGACACTCTACAACTATAAGTGCACTAATACGATGGATAAACAAATAGGAACAAAGATTGCAATAATTTAACTAACACAACAATTCCTTAACTACATTCCTCAAAATATTTTATCCGTTAAATTTATCAAAAGTGAGCCTCCTAAATATTTAACAAAATCTTTGTATGTTGGATGTAATGAGAACTATTTAAAAAACTTAATCAAAAAAATCCAAGGTATCTAAAGAAGAGTTGATGATAACACTTCAGAAGGCATTATCAGATATTAACACAACAACAAAAAAATATGAAATCGACAAAATAATAGAGGTTATTAGAGAAAGCGTTATTAGAACCAGCTTATGCAGATATAAAAAAACCAGGAAATGACATAGAATTAGCAGCTAACCAATAAACATATAAGAGGATTAGCAGGCAAAAATAGTTAAAAGATGCATCGATAGAGATTACCTATTATCCAACAATCAGAGTCTAAAAATAAAAAACATTCTTTGTAAAAGTTAAAAGTTATAAAATTATTATACAAAAAGTTAAAAAGGCTTTTCTTTAATCATTATCAATAAATCAAGATGACATCTCAAACACTTATTAAGTAAGAACTAGTAAATAGTTGTGAAGTGAGGCATAAGATTCTCATTACAATGAGAAAACAAGTCTTGAAAGACTAATAATTCAAAACTAATTCTCAATCTTTCTTTGAAAAAATCTTTATTTTTTCCAAGTTATCAATAGTTATGCTCTACTCACTTCGTTTAAAAAAGATTGGCACTACTTTCTTATTAATCCGTTTAAAATAAAATTGGCACATTCCAATATATCCTTAATGGGGGATTTTGTAACCACACAAATATTATGACTTGTTTAAGACTACAAGTATCAAACGTTTTATAGCCACAAATATATTATGACATATTTAAGATCACAAGTTATAAAAGTTTTCTCCCTTTATTAAACTTTGTATCGAGTCAAACTAAGACAAATAAGTTAAAATAAATAGAGTATCATTTTTTAGATATATTTTAAAAAGTTTAATTTCTTATTGTTATGATCAGGAACCCGAATTGTGTGGAATATAGCCAAATAATGTAATGATAATAATGGTAATTAAAGCAGATAAAGAAGACACCAATTTAATGTGGTTCGGTCAGTGAGACCTGTGTCCACAAGCAGAGAGAAGCAATTTCACTAGAACAACAAGAGTACAGAAGAGAGTACAAAATTAGAGTAAACATTGTAATTAATTCAAAATACCCCAAGAGAATAACCTCACAAGATCACTCTAAAGAAAGGGTTCACATAAGTATTTTCCAACACTCAACTCTTTTCCAAAATACTATTAATAAATTAAAGAGGAGAAAGAAAGACAAACGTGAAAAGCTCTTGAATTGGTGTATCTTCAACTGAAGAGAAATTACTCTATTTATAGGTAACAAAGCCTTGGGCTCAAAGAATGCTACAGTACCATTTTAATCTTCCACCACACAATGACAAAACTAGGTCACCAAGTTCAATTTGCCA